AGAGTCACCATGACCATAGTCCAGAACTGGACCCTTTTTTCTCCTCTGTTTTCTCAATAACTATAAGTAAAAAACGTAAGATTTATCCTGCATCATTGAGTTCGCTTTATCGACTCAAATATTTTTTTAATTCCGCAAGGATGAATCAGGGTTCACTTCTAGACTAGCATGACAATGAAACGTCTCTCATGAATATAAGGAATAATGTAAACGTTACCATAATTTTAATTCAGAAAAAGAACTTAAATAATACAATGACAATTTGTTTTAGAGCCAGATGCACCACCAACTAATTTCAAAGCAACTGCTGTCAGCTCTACAAGTATCCGCCTTACATGGGACTTTCCTGTAAAAGACAAACGAAACGGTGTCATTCAAGGTTTTAAGATGTCATATTGTAAGACAAATGACTGCCTTACACGAGCAAGTAAGGACCTGACAAATAATAGTACACTTGACCATCTTTTTGATAAACTGGAAATGTATACTGAATATTCCTTCAAAATTCTGGCGTACACTTCTAAAGGAGACGGTCCTGATTCAAACGAAGTTATAGAGAAAACCCTCGAAGGACGTAAGTAGAAAGGCCCATTTATAGTTTATTTTATGCACTTAGAAATTCTTGTCGTCTTCGGTCTTCCTGTGGTGACAAAACGTGAGATGATAACATTAGGTATAGGCTAGCAGTCCAATTATTGCTGGAGAGACTTCATTTGTTATTTGTGCGTGTGTATGTTTGGTAGTTTCCATATGTACGATAAGTGGGGAAGAAAAGAAAGGGCGCGCGCATTTCTTTATTATACTATTGGGTTCTAACTTCCTTAGTGAAGTGCGGATTACCTGTGCCTTGTGGGATATAAAATGTCTTCTACAAATAATATAATTTTTTAAAAATTATTAATTTTTAAAATTATGATTTTGAAATTATGGATTTTATTAATATTTATTCTACAAGGATATTTCTAATTCTGTAATGTCCTTTGTCAAATCTTCATTCCCAGCACCTTCAGCACCTCGAAATATAATGACGAAAAATATTGCACCAGGTGGTTCATTTGGACCTCGACTCCAAGTATCTTGGGACGTTCCTTCAGCTTTGAATGCAAAGTACATAAGAAACTATAGTGTTTCCTACAAAAAAACTCCGGACGGCAAGATCATTATAACTGCTTTAAATGACAACAAGACAACGACCACTTTGGATGTATGTGGCGAAGTCAATTATGAAATCAAAGTCTGGGCTCATACTGTTGCTGATGGTGATAAGGCACGGAAGGATGTGGCAACCAAAATTTATGGTAGGTTCAGTTTCATCATAATAATTCTGCTGTTTGCACTCGAGGCAAATACATACAGATTCATATGAAAAAACTATGGTCTACCAGCATTCCACGCGGTCGTGTTATAGATTTTTCACATGTTAAAAAAGTGACTTCAAATATCAATCCACAATACGTTTCCATCCATCGGTTTAAAGGTTGAATCCTACAATATCTCCATTCATAGAGTATAAAGAGATAATAAAGAGCAAGTTTCTCCTTATTTGAAAGATGTATTTTTATTTTCGCTGTGTCTATATGGCCGGTTACCGGTCAAGGTCTTGAAAATGCTAAATGGCCGGCAGCCCATAAAATGTGTTTTTTCCCTCTCTTATTATCTAAACGAGCTTCCAAACTCCAAAATAAAACTCTACGAGTAAAATGAGTGTGTTAAAACTTACTTAAACGTCTCGCCGAAATTCGTTGCACTTAGAGACATGCATTGTGCGAACTTGAACCGGACTGCCGGCCATGCAACAACGAAATCCTAAATGGCCGGCAGCCCATAAAATAACAGATTTCTCTTTTATTATTCTTATTTAAAGAGTTAAAACAACATAATCAACATTTCTGAAACTTTCATGGTACTGCACAGACATTTTTCTATTCGAGAAAGATCTCAACCAACACGACGGACTGCCGGTCACGCAACATCAAAGTCCTAAATGACCGGCAGCTCACAAAATAACAGATTTGTCTTTTACTATTTCTATTTAAAA